GCACTGATTGTGTTGCTTTTCTTGAAGGTGAGAGATTTAATGTGGAATCACTATGATCCGTTATTGACAAAGAATCCATCCCCTAGAAATAAACTTCGAAGAAAAGGTCGAAAGCTGTAAAGAACGAAAAAAAAACAGAAACCAACTATTCTGGGGGGGTAGGTGATATCAATACAGTAGGCTACTCTCCTGTGTGATGGTTGTTTCAACTTTTAACACACACACACATCAAGAACCATTTCAAAGGCTAACCTGGATATCGGACAACAAAACAACTGAAGCACTTCGATTCATTTCGATTGCTGTGGCTTCCTGTATCTCCTGAGCTGTTTTCTCAGTTGGCAACTCTGCGGTGGATTTGGATTGTAGACTCACAACGCACTCCTCTAATCGACGAACAACAACGAGAACGCATTCCAATAATGCCGCTTTCGAACCGAACGAAACCACAGAAAGCAGATCATCCTGGCTCAGATACAGAACGATATCTGATAGGATAGAGGCGTTCGTACTAGCCGAATCATCAGTGTGTTCCGCATCAAGTCCCGGGGCGGCAAGCTGAACAACCGAACTGCCACGAACGAGTCCCGCGAGGAGAAACAGATGACCGGCTAGGGAAGATGGCGCAACAGATTCTGTGCAACGCTCCAGGCAAGATTTCATTAATGGCCACCACAACTAGAAGAAACAGTACGGGTACGCATTGGACGAAAGGATAGTGTGAACAGCGGAAAAGCTCAGTCCCGAACTGAATCATCGTAACGTGCAAAATGTACAAGATGCAGTCAACAAAATCTAGTAGACGATTATGGGCAGCACCAACAGTCATCATGTGGCCATAAATCATACCTGCCATTTGTGAATATATCAAAAAATGTTCAGTGAACTTCGAGGCCCCACAAAGTTACATGCTTTCTGATAATCTTTCTCACTTCCCGTACACAGTGACGACCTTCTGTCACAAAGTTTTCATCCTATCCATGCTCTTGCTGACGAAACCACTCAATATTGTTCTTCAGCCCGCAAAACTTGCTGCAGCAGTTCGGCCAGTTCTGATCTATGGTGCAGAGAGTTGACCATTACACTGACAGAATAAAATTAGATTTCCGGTGGTCGAACACCTCCGCCTACGCCGCATTGCACCAGTCTGGCGGGTAAACCCGAGGAGCGATGCTGAGGTTAGGTGGAGAGTTTTAAGTAATCGCGGTCGTCCACTAGAACAAGTGGTCTCGCTCCATAGACTACGATGGTTGGGACATGCGTTGCGCATGTCACGAAATAGGTTGTAACGGCGACCGACGTTTGAAAAGGCAGGTTGCGGTTTGAAAAAGGTGAAGGGTGGTCAACCTAAGATCTGGCATGAGGGTATGGTAACCATAACCAGGAGACTGGGT